ATCAGCAAGAGCACACACAAAAATCATGGTTCTAGTTAAAAACTTCTAACTGGATATCATCCACTATAGCTCACACTCACACTCACAGATTCAAATACCACCGCTTGCATAAACAATCCAATTCTGTGATTTGGATATCACTACTAGTTTTCACAACAATACAACTTTTCGATTTGGACACCAACGCATGGGTTCATTTAGGACTCATGTAACATCTTTCCATAATGTAAATACAGTTCTATTTTCATCAATTCTAAATTGTTTCAGTATACCATTGAACCACTATTAAGATTCTCTTACACTAGAATGATAGGAATGGTAATTTATAATTTCTTATTATCGTAAGACATACTTTAAGTTTCTACTGTCTTTTCATTATTGTTGGTAAATAGCTTTATACCGATCTTTTGGCCTTATGAGAATACTAAAACTCTGTTTACATTGTGACGCTACAAAGTGCTCCGTTCTCATGACCCGGCCACGTATTCTCGAAACGATCTCATTTCTAGGATATCCTAGGTTCTTATCTTCTAACATCCTAGCACTAAGATCGTTTCGAGAGTACATGGCCCGGACACGACATAATTACAATTTTTTACCGTTTACATTACTACGAGCGTTTCGAACAGTTCTAGTGGTCTAAACAATCAGGTTTTCTCAGACACATTTTAAGAGAACTCTTCCCGAAAGAGGTAATTATAGACGTCCTAGTAACCCGAATGAAGACAATTCCTCTCGCAGTCTGATTGTAGGTTGGGAAACTTAATCGGTCAAATTAATGATAAATAGAAACCAAAATCTATAAAAATATGCACCTTAACTTTAATGTTTTAACTCAAAATAATTGCATTTAATTTTGCAAACCCTGATAAAACCATCAACAAAGTACTCGTCTTATTTTGTCATTTCAAATAGAATGAGAACAGAGCACATTGATTTATGTGTGGTATGATGACGTTATACAAATGGTTATTTAGGATAATGACATTGTAATGTTTAATAATGGTCTTTGATATTTAGGCTAATGGTATGGAAATTAAAAAAACCCTGCTGTCTTAAAGGGAACGAATTGAGGTTTTCTGAAACATTTAATGTGTATCGGAAGACTGATAACATCGATTTGCACCGATCCAAATTACAGCCAGACGTCTGTGGTTCTTGCTACTAAATGTTTGATTGCGTAGCTTTCACTCAGGCTCTTATAAAAATTAGCACCTTTGAGATAGCTTAATCATAAACGGTTCAGCTTTTCTATAAGTACATGACACGCAGGAAGACATCTAATTGAAATATGCTAAAAGTTATAAATGACCCTTATGAAAATGGTTGTTTGTTTCTTTGTCTATCTTATATAAAAAATTGGGGTATCTTGTAGATAAGTGTTGGATCTGGTTTCAATACTAGAGTGTTGGTACTTGACTATACTTAAAAGTCTAAACATACCCGTTTGATTGACGGGGTTGAATTCTACAACACAACTATCCATACATTTTATGTTATCAAATTAATCAATGACGAATCGTTCATTGCTGAGATAATGGATAAATAAAGAATTATTAAATAATCAAATCAAATAATCAAAGTAAATAATCAAATTACGTAAATTAAATAAATTAGATAAATTAAATAAATTAAATAAATTAAATTAAATAAAATTGAATAAATTGAATAAATAAAATAAATTGAATAAATTGAATAATTAAAATAATTAAAAACGTGCACAGGGTAAACATTGTCAGAAAAGGTGTCATGAAATTTGACAGCGAGGAAACTGTTTTCTCAAATTCCATTAGATAGACTATAATAATTCTTTTAATTAAACTAAAAAAATCTAGTATTTAAGCTAAAAAAAATTCCATTTTTCCATTATTTAAGCAAAATTCAATACTTAAGCTAAAAAAATTCATTATTTGAGCTATAAAAATTCTTCAACTAGTTAAGCTTGAAATAGTCTTCAAATAATTAGGCTAAATAATTCCGTTAACAAAAATATCTATTACTAATGCGATAACGAAATAATCTAGATATAAACAATTTATAATGGAATGGTTTCATTATCAGGAACTCTCAGAAAAGATACCAGTCGGAATTCTGATTCAGACGTGAAATCATATCATTGCGGCCACAAAAGGTTGTCTATTTCTTCAAGGCAAATTGTCTCACATTATCACACACAAAGTAAATGGCTAATAAATGGCTTAAGTATTGCTTTTTATATTGGTTTAATAATGTTATTTATCGAGCCTTTAGGCAAGACAGCGATACTAAAATATTACAAAGCCATTGTTGTTAGTTTCATCAATTCCGTCAATCTAGGGAAGCCCATTGGATTGAGACATTGAATACAGCAAGACCTATTGGACTAAATATTCACCATAATGTAGGCATAGCACCCTTTGTTGTCCAGTTCAATACAGCCAGCAATCGAGCAAGCAAGATAGTTCATGCCCACTATAAAAGCCTTCAAGAGAAATTCCCCCATGTCTATAAGCAGAAAATGATAGTTGCATATTCAAAAGATAAGAACTTAAATGATAATATTGTTCATAGTAAACTAAAAACAATCAGTACATAACAGATACTATACTTCCCATCCATTGGACGAGTTATTTTTTCTAATTTCAGATCAGAATAAGAACAGAAGAAAACCCAATATCAAGACCCTTAATCATAATTTCTAAATAAAGTGTCTGCTCCACCCTAGGCCTGTACATTTGGGAGAATCAAACCCTTCCTTTCTCGAAAACTAATTAAATAAGTTCTTCAAACTGTTCTGATGAGAACTGTGTATCCGAATCACGATCTTTAATCAATTTGATTAACTTGGTATTATAATATTGTGTTTTGTGATGAAAGGGTTCTGTCCATGGCCATGGCATCAAAATTGTTCTAACCTTGAGGAAGATTTGAACCTAATCGCCTAGCAGCTATTGTGTATGAAGGACCTTTTTTTGTCAAACTTTTGTGTGCGCTGAGTATTATCGTTTAGAATGATTTGTTAAATATACCGAGTGATGCCGATTTTCGTCTTCGAGAAGGACCGAACCTATGGTACCTAATCATCAAACTTCTCTATGAGGTGCACTGAAGGAGTTTGGCAAGTAAACCAAAATGCTTTCAATTTCTTCCTGAGATTTCAAAGATATAAACCACATCTATAGACAAGTCTGATTTAAATCAGTTGTAAATTCCAACCGTCACCTGTTTGAACTAATTAAAACTTTTTTCTAACATAAATACACTAAAAATAGAAGCTAGGAACGTGTGATGTCATAAATTTCGTTTGCAGATAAAGATTCAACTAATTCACTTTTGAATCGTTTCCAAAAATAAATAATGACGGGTACTTGTTGTTGATAATTCTTAGTTTGACGTCTGATTTTTAAGAACTCTGAATTGTGTAAATGCATATTTTTGATTTGCGATAATCATGATCTAAATGGGGTTGGAAAGAGGTTTATCAACTTTTCATATGTGTAGGGACCGATTATGGCTGATATTTGCACCATTCCAATTTTACGCCAGATGTATATGTTTCTGGGAATTTCATGGTTAACAGTTCATGACGTTCTCTTTTGTGATAGTGAAGTCATAAAACGCTTAGTATTTTTGGATTACAAGGAACCACAAACGTCTGACTGAAAATTGGAATGGGGAAAATCTATGCTAATAATGTCAAACAATATTATTTTAAAAGTTAACCCTCTTATCCCTTTAACTTTATTTGGCAAATGTATTGAATGGATTGAGATTTGAGCCCGATTTCAGATGAAATCCAACGTATGCTTTTTCTTTCTAAAATGACATTGTTTTACAAGGCCTAATAAAATGTGTGAATTTGTTACTCATATCACTACCTTCCCTTTTTCAATGCGCGCCATGTGAGATTTCTTATTTAAACAAAACCACTTGTTACCGTGCATTATGAGCTATCTTTTATAATAAGCAAACGGTAAATGTCTTGTTCAAAAAAATCACCCGTGAGCGTATGTTACCTTGCATGATAAGCTATCTTCTAAAGTAAGCGAATGGAAGATGTTCTTGTTAACAAACACCAGTGGGCGTATGTTACGTTGACTGGCACGAAAACTTCTATAACCAGCTAGAGATAGATGTCTTAAGATGCCTTGCACGATACGCTATCTTATATTATAAGCAAAAGGTAGATGTAGAAGTAAAGAAAGCCATCAAAGTGTATATTACCATGCATAACACGCATGTTTCAAAGATCTGTCTTGATAGCGATCAGTTGAACATGAAGAAATCGCCAAGCAAACTAAATGTGATTATTCATAGTTGACAATACCTCGCCATTAAAGATATTGTCGTCGATTTTTAACGGAAACATAAAATACTTTACTTCCGTTAAAGACTGAAGTTGCCATAAAATAGGCCATAAAGTTTTAGAAACCTTAGTGTTTATGCTTTTAGCACAAGGATACCATGAAATCTACAAGGAAACGCAATTAGTCTAATGTCCTTTCAAAACTGCAGACAAGGCATTTAAATGATTAAGAAATTTAGAAAAAGGGTGTTCGCGTTAACTCAGTTTCAAATCTGTACAGTTTGAGGTTTGAATTGTAGAATACACGAGAGCGACGGCGAACGAATGGTGCCAAAAGACGTTTAGTACTACAGAATCGTGAATCTAAGCATAATTCATAAAAGCAAAATCTAAAATTTGCTTAAGTTGATTAATTAAGTTAAGCATAAAATTTACTTACTCCAGTCATACTACATTATAGTAAAAAAATAAATTTTCTTCAGTTTAATAAAATAATGAATTTTCTTTAGTTAATAAAATCATGAAGTTTCTTTAGTTTAATAATATCATGAATTTCCTTCAGTTTAATAAAATCATAAATTTTCTTCAGTTTAATAAAATCATAAATTTTCTTCAGTTTAATAAAATCATAAATTTTCTTCAGTTCAATAAAATCACGAATTTATTTCAGTTTAATAAAATCATGAATTTACTTCACTTTAGAAAAATCATGAATTTACTTCAATACAGTAAAATCATAAATTTTCTTCAGTTTAATAAAGTCATGAATTTTCTTCAGTTTAATAAAATCATGAATTATTTTCAGTTTAATAAAATCATAAATTATTTTCAGTTTAATAAAATCATGAATTATTTTCAGTTTGATAAAATCATGAATTATCTTCAGTTTAATAATATTATGAATTATCTTCAGTTTGATAAAATCATGGATTTTCTTCAGTTTGATAAAATCATGGATTTTCTTCAGTTTATCATAGATTTTCTTCAGTTTAATAATATCATGAATTTAATTCAGTTTTATAAAATCATGAACTATGTTCAGTTTTATAAAATCATGAATTATCTTCAGTTTGATAAAATCATGGATTTTCTTCAGTTTAATAAAATCATGAATTTTAATCAGTTTATCATAGATTTTCTTCAGTTTAATAATATCATGAATTTAATTCAGTTTTATAAAATCATGAACTATGTTCAGTTTTATAAAATCATGAATTATCTTCAGTTTGATAAAATCATGGATTTTTTTCAGTTTAGAAAATATCATTAATTTACTTAATTTACTTCAGTTTAGTAAAATTAAGAAGTTTCTTCAGTTTAATAAAATCATGAATTATCTTCAATTTAATAAAATTATGAAGTTTCTTCTGTTTAATAATATCATGAATTATCTTCAGTTTAATAAAATCGTGAATTTTCTTCAGTTTAATAAAATCGTGAATTTTCTTCAGTTTAATAAAATCGTGAATTTTCTTCAGTTCAGAACAAAGTTACTTTAAATACTAATACAACAGTAGCTAAATACTAATGTACTATTGTGTGAAAAGACTGGCACTAAAGGATAGTATGTAGTTAGAATGTAAACAATGGAAACTTGAGATACCTTAAAGAATTGTCAGGATTTCAGACTTACTGGTGCCAATGTAGAACCAAATCGGGAATCATTAAGTAGCATAGTTGGTCAACCTCTCTCCTTAATTGATTTAACCCAGCGTTTGAATTGATGGCAAAGTTTGAATCTTAGTATACTGTTATCTTATTATGGTAAAAAGGTTCACTTAACATTTATGTGAATCGGGGATAGTGAAAAGTGTTGGTGAATAATTTGCATCATTCCAATTTTCAGACGTCTGTGGTTCTTGCAAGTCAGTATCTATAGAAAACATTTTCTAAATTGTTCAGTTGCTGTTTAGATATTTGCTCACGAAGAATTGTCGCTAGTGTCTAAGAAAAGTCGTTTGCGTTTAACAATGCAATGCGTTACTCGACAATGAAATGCCAAAAAACGAGAGTTGTGCAAAACCTTTGTAGAGTTATCAATTTTTTCATATCGGTGAAAATTATTCTTGTTTTTTTCGACTTGTAATGTCAATATAGGGAGTAATCATTGTTTAATGAACTTCAATTGCTTGTAGCTTTCTTGAAAATAGTCCAATATTCAATCTTTCCCCCCAATAATTTTAAGTCTGGCTTTTGATTGTGTAATATATATAAAATATTTCAAATATGCAACGTTAATTGATGCCCAATGTTACTTTAGATATAATATGTCATATATGGCTTGGAAAATATGACGTAAAGCTCCAATTTCTTGATTACAATATTACTTTGGACATTTTAAAGTAATTGCTGGTAGAATATAAGTCAATTGGAGGACTAATTACTTAATTCAAGTTGACGGATTGAGTTTTATTACTTTAGTATACTATTACTATATTTAAAGGTACTAATATAAGTAAATTAAAACCTCCTCCGTGATTAAGACCTACAGCTGAATTCACCAAATTCTTTATTGCCGCAAGTGATCCGGCCAATGTCTGCTGGTCTAGTAGGAACCAATCGGCATCTGTCCTCCCTTTAGGGCGTTAAGGGGATTTTCTTAACTTCATGGCTATTGCGCCATTCAAATCACAGTCAGACGTCCGTGGCTCTTGCTTAAAGACGGCATTATCTATCGGACGAGCAGGAAACAAAATCTAAGGGCCTTTTACAAACCTCTTCATATTAATGTTCTGATAGTAGGCTACATTCCGAACGGTCCTCATATATATAGTGTTGGCTTCAAACATGAGCACTACATTCCAATTTACGGCCGTTCAATATTTGTCAAGACAGTCCAAAGCGTTGCACGGTGACCTAAATAACCATTCTGATTATCTCCCTTTATCCTGGTCTGAGACGGGATTATCTATAATGCAAATACAATATAAAAAAAAACTTCCTGTATGTGTTCCTTATTGACTGATAACAATTGTTGATCATATAAATGAAAATGATACCTGTTATTATGAGGATAAACTTTATCACTTAGACACTACCAACATAATGAAGACATTCATATCTTTGGGTGTTCTTTAAGTGGAGAATAATAGTACATTCTTATAAACATTTATACAGATTTTAGCACCAGTTGTTTTCCTTGAAGTACAAATTCCTTGGCTTTTACACAACATACCTAACGAGAAACCAAAAGCTTTGGGTGATATCTAAATGACAAATAAAATGCACAGTGTGTGAATATCTGGTGACCTTAAATTGTGAGCTTTCCACATTATAACAGTCGACCCATATCAGTATCAATGCTGAGAAATTTGTTCCAGGCCCAGCTGGTTGAAGGATTCTCGTGACCTAAGTTGCTAAGAGGTTTGACCAAGAATTGGCTGATAGAAATGAACCGATGTTATTATCCTAGTAAAAGATTTTTCATTCTTTATTATAAACAATCAACATGAAAATGGGAAATGAGTAAAATGTTCCACGTTGCATCATCTCTAAAACCAAAATGAAGAAGACCATACGGTACAATTAAGAGAAAAACCAGATTGCCCGAGCTTTCATCTAGTAGGTTGATCTAAACTGACAATTGTTTATAATATTACCAAGAGATAAGACGAAAAGTGTATGTAGAATTTATTTTCATGGACTCAACTGTTTACGTTCTGTAAATTACTGAGAACCTCTGATTATTAGCTATCTTGTTTTGGGTATCTGCCACTCGCCAATCTATCATATCTGAACAAGGTTTCATAAAAGAAACGTTAATCGTTTTTTATACGCCCACATGAATATGTGGTCGTATATTGTCGTCGCCCCTGTCCGTCGGTCCGTCGGTCCGTCCGTCAACATTTCTTGTGAGCACTATAGAGACTACAGTTTTTATCTGATTTTGATAAAACTTGGTGTGGTGCTTTAGATTGATAAGATCTCGGACAAGTTCTAACTTGACGCATTTTCGATGAACGGTTTTTGAGTTATTGGCCTTGACTTTGTTAAAACGCGTCGAAATTTGTTAAAAATAGTTCGTGAGCAGGATTGAAGCTACAGTTTTCAACCGATTCTGATGAAACTTGGTGTAATCATTTGAATTGATAAGATCTCGGACAAGTTCTAACTTGACGCATTTTCGATGAACGGTTTTTGAGTTATTGCCCTTGACTTTGTAAAAACACGTCAAAATTTGTTAAAAATAGTTTGTGAGCAGGATTGGAGCTACAGTTTTCAACTGATTCTGATGAAACTTGGTGTGATCATTGAAATTGATAAGATCTCGGACAAGTTCTAACTTGACGCATTTTCGATGAAATGTTTTTGAGTTAATGCCATTAACTTACGAAAAACGCGTCAAAATTTGTTTGTGAGCACAATAGAAGCTACAGTTTTCAACCGATTCTGATGAAACTTGGTGTGATCATTGGAATTGATAAGATCTCGGACAAGTTCTAACAAGAGATAATTTTAATGAACATTTTTTGAGTTATTGCCCTTGACTTTGTAAACACGCGTCAAAAGTTGTTTTTTGCCCTTGATTAGAGCTGGGCGAGAAGTGTAGTATCTGTAATGTACTGATTGTTTTAGTTTCCTATGAACAATATTATCATTTAAGTTCTTATTTTTTGAATATGCAACTATCATTTTCTGCTTATAGACATGGGGGAATTTCTCTTGAAGGCTCTTATAGTGGGCATGAACTATCTTGCTTGCTCGATTGCTGGTTGTATTAAACGGGACAACAAAGGGTGCTATGCCTACATTATGATGAATATTTAGTCCTATAGGTCTTGCTGTATTCAATGTCTCAATCCAATGGGCCTCCCTAGATTGACGGAATTTGGTAGTTTCATCTTCGGGCAAGTCAATTTCTATACGCTCAATTGGGATTAGGGTGAGATCGTCTATTGAATGGTCGTCGAGGTTGAAATGATTAGAAACAGGCTTGTCTTTCTTTAATTTGATGTCTGACCTATGAGCATTAAAGCGAGTTCGTAAATTATTCTTAGTTTCTCCTACATATTGTTTGGGGCATTTCTTGCATGAAATTAAATATATTACATTCGAATGTTCACATGTTAGATGTTCCTGGATCGGGTACCTTTTATTCGTAGAGTTGCTTACAAAATAATGAGTTTCTGATATAAAGGGACATGTTTTGCATCTACTGGCCAAACATGGAGCACTTCTTAAACCTGGAGGTACTTCGGCATAAAGTCTGTTTTTAGCTGCTATCTGTGCTAAGGTGGAATTTTTTATGTTTCGTAAAAATCGTTTAGAGTACCCACGCTCTTTCAGTTTTGAGAAAACAATCGTACTGGCTTGGTTGAAATCAGAAGATCTTGTACAAATTCGATGAAATCGTAAAACTTGTGACTTAATTATACCAGAAAAGGTATGTTTTGGGTGAAAGGAGCTCTTGTGCAAGAGTTGATGAGTATCAGTTTCTTTGAAATACACTTTAATATCCAGTTTATTTGTTTCTGCTATGGAATCTCCCTTAAAGACTGTGGTATCGAGAAAGTCTATGCTTTTGTCACTCACGTTTGCGGTTAGTTTGATAGAAGGATGGTGGTTGTTGAGAATTTCAAAGAATTCCCAAAACTGTTCGATAGAATAAGTCCAAACCATAAAAATGTCATCCAAAAAGCGTCCGTAAAAAAGTGGGTCAAATGGACAGAGGGGCAACACCTCACGTTCCCACTCTGCCATGAAAAGGTTTGCGTACGAAGGGGCGAATCGT